TCCCCTCCCCCGGGCCACCCGTGGGTCCCCGTTCCCTACCTGGTTGTCCACCTTGAGCTCGCTCAGGGTGGTGTTGTGGTACATGGCCTTGATGATGCTCATCATGCCGGCGCTGGTGATGAAGTTGGATTCGATGTTGAGGCTCTGCAGGGTCTTGTTCTCTGTCAGCATCTCGGCCACGGCCTGTGTGTCACCTCGGGGTGTCACCTCGGGGTGTCACCTCGGGGAGTCACCGAGGGCTGGCGCACCCCTCCCCCAGCACATCCCAGCCCACCAATGCCCCAGGTGACGATGGAAAAGCCACCGTCACCGGGCCTTGCTGGTGCCCGGGATGGAGGTGGGGACAGGGGGATCGTGTCCCCGCCTGGGGACGAGGTGGGGACGCGGTGCCGGGACTCACGCTGGCCACGGGGTCGTTGCTGCGGGTGGCTACCAGGCTGAGCTTCTTGACGTGGGTGTTGGTTTTCATGGCCTCGCAGATGGCCTTCAGCGTGGAGATGGGAATGTCCTGCAGCGAGGGGGACCTGGGGTGTCACCAAGGGGATGGGGACATCCCTGTGGGGACCTGGGGTGTCACCGAGGGGATGGGGACATCTGCGCGGGGATGTGGGTGTTGCCAAGGGGATGTGAGTGGCATCGAGGGGGTGGAGATGGCTCCAAGGGGTACAGGGGTGTCTCTGAGGGGGTGCTGGATGTCACCAAGGCATGTAAGTGGCACTGAAGGGATGGGGGATGTCCCCAACGGGGCACGGATGCCCCCACGTGAGGATGAGCACCCTGGGGTGCCCTGGAGCCACTCCAGAATGGGGACAAACACCCCGGGGACACCCCAAGACGGGGACCAACCCCACACCCCAGGACAGGGTGAGCAAACCCCATGGGGACACCCCAGGGTGGGGATTGGGACCTGGGGACAGTGCCACCGGGTCCCTTCACCTTGATGTTGTTGAGGTTGACGTCTTCCAGAGCCGCGTCGTTGGCCTGGATCTGCCTCAGCGTCTCCTCCACGTTGGTGGGATTCGGGGGCTCATCCGGCACCGGCTTGTATGTGTCGGGCTTCACCACGCCTGGGGCACACGTGTGACCACGGGGACACGCGTGACCGTGCACAGGGACAAGGGCGTGCAGGGACACGGGCGCTTGCACGCGTGACTGGGGTCACTGCGGGGTATCCGGAGGGAGTCTGGTCCCCAAATCCCCCGCCCAAAGACCCCCGTGCGCTCTGTGTCCCTGCATGTCCGTGTCACCGCGTGTCCCCTCGTGTCCCTGTGTCACTCACTGTTGATGCCCTCGGTGTTGGTGATGGTCCCACTGCAGATCGCGTCGTAGTACTGCTTGTTGCTCATCAGCGTGTACATGCCCAGGATGGCTGCGGAACCGAGTCGGGGGGGAGGTCATCTGATGTCCCAGGACCCCCCTTGGTCCCCTCGTGTGCCCCCAGGGGTGGCTGCAGCTCCCCCAGCCTTGCCTGGGGAAGCCGTGAGGTGGGCCAGGGCCAGCATTGAAAGCTGAGTGCAGGGATGCGGGGGGGTCCCAGCACAGGCCAGGCAGCAGGGAACACGTGTGTGACACGTGGCCCCATGTAACGTGCAAAGCTCCGGGGGCTACGTGCAGCCCCACTGAAGCTGCTGTGGGTCACACTAGCCCCGTGCAAGGCCGTGGCGTGACACAGCTGCCCTGTGCGAGGCTGCAGTGCGACGGGTTAGCCTCGTGCAAGGCTGAGGTGCGATACGACTGCCCTGTGTGAAGCCGTGGTGCAACGTGGCTGCCCCGTGCGAGGCTGCGTTGGTGCGGGAGCCCTGTGCAAAGCTGCAGTGCGACAGGGTAGCCTTGTGCAAGGCTGTGGTGCAACGTGACTGCCTGGTGTGAAGCCATGGTGCAGTGTGGCAGCCCCATGCAAGGTTGTAGCCCCGTGTGAGGCTGTGGTGTGGCGTGGCAGCCCCGTGCAAAGTTGCGGTGTGACAGGGTAGCCTTGTTCAAGGCTGTGGTGTGATGGGGTAGCCTTGTGCAAGGCTG